AAACTATAGGCAACATCATGCTTTCTCTTCAATGAAGTGCAAGCTGATGCAGTCCAAATCTCACCCTAATAAGATGAATTGGATGACTCTGAAGAAATACCATCACGCAAATTACATCATCATTTCAACGGTTCTTTTTGATTTCTCATAGAAAATGCCTCTACACTATCAAATAACAACACGAGACAAGCACCGCCAGGGAACAGGCTTATCCAAAAACGCTGGGGTGACATATATCTGACCACAGGCTCATATTAACGGTATCATTAACTCTCTTCTCTCTTAGAAGCCTCTTTTTGTCAGTAACCTTTCCCAATTAACAATGGTCAGGTAATGGGTGGACTTACGCCTTCCATTCGACCTTTTGGGTTAAGATGAAGGCGACATATTGCAATGATCACGAAGAGATTGGTAAGATGTACACCTGTCTTTTCTTCAATTCGTTTTTCAACCATCACTTCCGCTGTCGTTCAAGTGAGTAAGTCCACTGCTCTCCTCCTTCAAAATGTCAAAAACAGGGACAAAACTGATTGAATGCTAAAAATACAGCCGGCTTATGATTCACAAGCTGAAGTCATTGTGAGGGGATTATATTAAGAAACTTGAGTCTCAATGAACTGTAAAGTACAAGTTCCCTATGTTAAATCACAAATTATGTAAGCATTCCAACATCAAAACTTGATTCTATGATCGAATTTTTCAAATATGTTTACGACCTGATTATTTGTCTGTGTTCTGAATAAAACGTATCAAGTCGAAAGGACTCGATAAGATTGTAAGATATTCAAATCATCCAAGTAGACTACAACTTAACTAGCTTGATTGAATTTATAGCTTGTAATCAAATCACGAATACTTCGACTAGAAAGGGTCTAAGAAAAGATCACACATTGATCAGGAACAGCAAGTAAACAGAAATTCTTCAAGAAATTCAAGATGTTTTATGGATGTAGCTCATTTCAAGAGAGAGCGCGACATTATTTGTAGAAAGGTTTAATCTTCTCAATAATTGATCATAAAGTATACGGCAACTTTGTAATCTCTCGGTTTGGATACGGCATATAAAATCTTTGATTGAAGGGAGGGAAGCACTCAGCTAAACCAAACTTGACGGAAGCGTTTCTCTTGATGACATGGTGGTCCTGTAGGAAGAAGAGGCAGGTGAAGTTTCCGAAAATCTAGATGACTATGGAGCTAATTTACATAGGCTGACTCATAAACATCTGAGCAGCGCGAGTTGGTGTAAAGTCTCGCTGGCGAACGAGGGCAATGAAGCATCAATACTGACGAGGCCTATTCTCGTGAAGCGGGCAATAACGCAGTGATTATTGGAGGTGATAAATGTCATTTCAACTATAGGTGCCCGGCGTATGTCGTACGACAGGCACGACTCAGTCCTGAGGCGCTTCCAGTCCAAGCGCTGGTCATGCTCGCAACACTTGATGGAAACCTTGGGTACCGACCACTGAACATGTGAGCTATAGCATATTGCAAAGTCTTGGCAAATTTGAAGTACTTTCCTCAATTTTATAGACACTAGAAAGAGCACATAACCATAGTTTGATGTATGGTTGAACTCGATTAAGGCTTTGCGCAAGAAAGATGGCACGATTCTGGATTGCAAGATAAGATTTTTACCCCCTTTGATGGCATTCAACAGTGGAAGCCTCATCAACTCACCTATGGCTGTACTATGAGATTCATACAAAGATTAACAGTTTATATGTTGGATTTGACAACAAAATGATAATGTAAAAAAGCCAAAAAGAAACGTGCAGCAATGAGTTCTAACATTAAGCTTTACTCAAACTTCTTTTTCATCATGCCTTTGAATGATTTCGTATTTTTATTATTCCCAGCTCTAAAAAACAAAGAGAACAATGCGTTCGAATTAGGATTTTAATCATCTTTCAAGGAATGAATCTAAGATTTCACCTCTCAGAAAAAAAAGCTATCAAGTTCAAAGAATTGTGATTCGACTCACAATCCTAGACTTTCTAGAGCACGTTCTACATAGACTTCGCTTTGTGGCTCTACAGATTCGGATTCTTGAATACAACCTACTTTGATCATCGCTCCGTCTGGAATCACTTCTAAGCGACTGACGATCAACAAAATCACATTCGGTCAATGGATCCCATTCCAGCTGTTTTTTTGGGGAATCTGCCGATAAACAGGTTTGCCGCTGTCACTAGTCGTGTCTTTATATACTTTCGGTTGACCATGAGTAATCTTAATTGATTGAGCACTAGCCTGTAAATTGTAAGAGAAAGACGCTGATATCGATTGGAAGTGGACATATGAGTCAGATGATAAACAATCCATCGACTACTTGAGAAATCATCTTGCATGTCATGGTTCGACAAGTTATGCAATGGCATATCAAACCAGCCTTCATAGAAACTTCCCCGGCGGTAAAGGTGATTTCACCTACAGAAACCGGAAACCCATATGACTTGATTGAACAACGTGCGGGTGCTTGGTTTAGTCTCTAATGAATGGTTGATCTCGCCAAAAAGATGTTTCGACGTGATTTATAAGCCACTTTTGAGAAGAGCTCCAAAAATTCGTTGAAAACGAGCCTCCTAATGATATTTGAGATACCGATTTGATTGCTGTGCCTCTCGAGGCTCAACACAATCAGTACATCCTCAGGAAAGTAAATATCACGACATTTTTTACATACCGTGCCCATTGATCACAAGCATCGGTTCAACTCCCTTAAAGTTTCTTCAAACTCCTCTTCCTCTTCTTGTAAAACCTTCATATGTTTCTTTCCCTTTTATTACCTCATTCTTCATTCGGCCATCAACCTATATCACAATTCTTTCGTGATTGGATTCTTTCAGTCAGAAATGATGTGCTGGTTATATAAGATAAGTGTTGATCGATGAAGGAAAGTAGTTGTCAATCTGAGAAGTGGACCAGTTTGAGTTAGCCAATGCGAAGATGAGGATACGAGAACGTGCGGCATGAATTTGCTCTATGAGACTATCTTTGCAATTATTATAAAAGGCTCCATGGTCTTCCACTGAATTGCTCTCCACAACAATCCTGCAGATTTCTTAACAGTTTCATATAATATCTAAAAGTCTTGAGTTTTGATCTTGAAAAGGTGCGTAGCAGGGAGTGCTCAGTGTTTTTTCCTATATACAAGTGTATCATAACACGTCTTCAGAGGTCTTGAGCTCATTGCCATGCTCTTGATTATTTCCTTTTGCTGACTGGGTGAAGTCTTCAATTTATATTCAACGTAAAATGAACTCTATCAATGCTACAATCATTCTTGTCATGTGCTTAAGCTTACTAAAAGTGCTCATTGCCAAACCATTGATTGGTGGTGGAACTGGATGCACCACTTACAAGATAGTAAGGTAATGTGTCTCCATTTTCCTTTTCCCACGTCCTACTTTCCCTGTTCTCTTGGTTTTTTTTCTTGAATATTTGAGCCTTGTGATTCACAATTAGTCTGGTTTTAACTTCTCGTTCTCTTGAAAGTGCGAGAGGTACGGGTGAGAGTCAAGTCCGCCCCACAGGATATCGTGGGTTTATCAACGGAGTTCTAGCTGCTGTACCTGGTGGTGCAAACTACGAGGTCGTGTATCCGGCATCAGTAGACTACACGACAGGACCATTACAAGGTGCTGCTGATGCCAATCGATACTTGACGGCACAACAAAGCCAATGTCCTGAACAAGTTTACGTTTTGATTGGATATTCGGAAGGTGTAGGTCGGCTTTGAATGGTCTTTGGAATCGCATGGCATGTGTATCGCTTACTTTTTGACTCCACCCCCGTTCGCCTACTTGATGGTCAAAGGCCATGGTAGTAACTCAGACAATGAGGAACCTATCAATTTCTCCTAATTTGATTGTCGCGATTGTGCTGTACGGGAACCCTTACTTCACATCCGGTGCGCCTCAAAATATGTGTTCAGCGGTCAGTATCACCTCTACAGGCAATCATCAAAAGCCTTCCTACCTTCTTTCATCTTGAGAAGCTCTTGATCTAACTGATTGAAATCAATTAACAGAGAACGGGATCCGGCATTGCTTCTGTCCTTGGTATTCGAATGCCTACACAGTATTCTTCAATCACCTTTGATTGTTGCCTAACCGGTGACTCAATATGTCAAACTGTTGGCTCCATCATCCCTCACTTAGCTTACGCCGGATCGAGCAGCGAGAGGGCAGCTATAAATTTTGCCGTCGCTAGGCTTTAGATTACGCGCAAGTAAGGTGTGTAGAGCACTTGATCTTTTTTTGGAACCTCTTACTGATGCTGGATTTTTCAACTGGTGTACTCCCGTTGGATTGGATACTATCATTTACAAAGACTCCAGTTATTCTTTTGAGCAGAATTTCAACCAAGAGAGTCACATACAAAGTCATATTTTTCGGTCAAAGCACTCTTTTCAACTATCATCACAAATCTTTGCCTACTATCCAAGGTCTTTCATTCTTCCTATTGTAAAAATAGGATCCCACTATTTAACGCCCTCTTAGAAGATATCCGGCGCCCCCCGGGTTTTGACACATACCCGCGTGGCCCGTCGATACTTGACATTTCTCACGCCAAATACAGCATCCTCGGACCTCAGGGGCACCAAGAGGGCTCCCCAAGAGGGCACAATTTCCCAAATGCGCCCTTTTTTCCTTATTTGATGCCCTATCATTCTTTGATCGGGCATCAAAGATCATTCAAATAAAAGGAAAGGGCTCCCAAATTAATTTGCGCCCGGACCGGCCACGGACATCGGGTCCTCATTGCGTAGAGGATAACGTTGAGATAGGTAGGAGGCCTATCTCCAACGATTTTTTTCCCTTGTCCGCTTTCTTCCTCTTTGTCATCACATACCAACAACTCCCCATCCAACTCTAATCATCCAACTTTCACACACCCAACCAACCCCATTAACACCGCCGTACATTCAAATCAATCACAGTATCAATCACAGAACACACAATCCAAGTCTTCGAACAATTGAACAATACAGAGTCATGGCCCACCTAAACCCGCGTACCCCATTACCTTCCGATGCTGTACACATCAATCATGATGGTGCCCCAACAGCTCCGACTCACATGATTCACGTGACCTACACAGCTGCAGAAGCAGCTCAAGGTCAAATTCCGAGCGGATACATTCAACCGTTTTACCCACCTCCTGGCCTGCTGTACCCTTCTCGCCCTCAAGGTGGTCAACATCCACCTCCTGCCCCCTCGTACCCACCACAATCATACCCAACTTCAGCCCAACAACCTTCTGGTGGTGGTTCACATCCACCACCTGTTCCCGTATCATCACACCCTTATTTATCCGGATCTTCGTACCCAGGTTCTTACGTTTTCACAGATCATTCTGGATCTTCGTACCCTGGCTACCCATCTACTACATCTGCACCGTTTTCTGGTTCTTCGTACCAACCTCCATCTGGTTCTTCGCACGTTGCTCCATCGTATTGTCACCCCGGTCCTGGAATAGGCGCCCCACCCAGCATGTTTGCACATGCTGGAAACCCTTTCCAAACCGATTCTTTCTATCACCACCGTCCTGTTCACTTCGATCCTTCGGCTCATTTCCATAATCGCCCGTTTTCTCAACTGCCTCCTTCTGCGCACTCGTATTCTCAACCTACTCCGAATTTACATCTCCACTCCAAAATCAAAGAGAAAGACACGCAAGACACGCACTCGACAACTGGTACCGCTCCCTCTGCTTGCTCTAGTCAACCTGCTTCTACTCCGACAGGTACACCCATCATGGGTTTACCTGGTACTGCCAACATTGACGTTCCAATTCAATTGACCTCGGACAACAATGAACAAGACGCGATTCAAATTGTGTTAGACAACAATGAAAGAGATTCGGACTGGCCTCCTATTGGTACGTCATTTTACACGTACTTTACCTTCTTCGTTCTGAAGGCTGACAATTCATTTTGACATGTTTATCAACAGGCGCCACACCTGTTCGTTTGCTTGAAGGACCTAAAACCGGAAAACCATTTATCGAATTGGAAAATGGCATGATGTATCTTCACGCAGTGGCCCGACATCAAGGATACGCTGTCGCCATCAAGAGTCATAAAAAATTCAATCAACAGACCATTCGACTTTATCTCCGGTGCTCTCTTGGCCACAAAGTTCCCTTGGTTGCTCAGAAGCGTTCATCTTCATCCAAAAAGACAGGCTGTCTGTTCGAGGTGTCACTCAATTACCGAGCCAACACTGACCGATGGATTGTATGTCAAGACACCAAGAATCCTGAAAAACTCAATCACAATCACAAGCCTTTTGATCAACCTCACAATATGGCTATTTACCGGAGATTCAATTCAGGCACTTCTTCATCGATTGACGTGCTTTCATCAGCAGGCTGTCGCCCGTCGTTGATCAGATCTCTCATCAATGTTCAACCAGGATCTCAACCCTTGTTAAGGGATATTCACAACGTTCGATCTCGACAGAGGGAGAATTGGCTCAACGGTCGCAGTCCTATTCAAGGATTATTTGATCTCATCGTTGCTAGCCAGTGGGCCCACCGCACATTAACAGCATCCGATGGTACCCTTCTGAACCTCTTCTTTGCTAGTCCCTCTGGAATCCGGTTAGCTCGACGTTTCCCAACGATCCTCAGCTTAGATTGCACATATAAGACCAACCGTTTCAACCTCCCCCTATTACACATTGTCGGGACGACAAATACACATCGCTCTTTTACCGTCGCAATGTGTTTTTTGAACAACGAAAAACAGGATCAATACGAATGGGCCTTATCCCAACTTAAAGAAGTTTGTTTTCAAAATTCGCACGAATCCAACGACTTCAAGTCACCTGAGACTTTTGCAACAGATGCTGAACCTGCGCTCTACAACACTATTGCGCAGGTATTTCCCGAGTCAACGCACATTCTATGTGTATGGCACATCAACATCAACGTGGCGAAAAATTGCAAGAGCAAGTTTTCAGAACCAGAGTGGACTGAGTTCATGAAACTTTGGAATACATTTATCTCATCATCTACACAGGAGTCTTATGATACTAACCTTCAGGCTGTCAGCAAGGTTGCCCGAGCGCATGATGTTTATGGTTATTTGGAAAGTACTTGGCTAGGTCGTACGGAAAAGTTTGTCAACTTATTCACTTCAAAAACTCACCACTTCGGTAATTCTTCGACCTCACGTGTTGAAGGCAGCCATTTCCGAGCCAAACGATTCCTCGATGGTCGCAATAACGATTTCCTGACCTGCTTCAATGCCTTCAAACGGTTTGAGGACCATCAAACCAACGAAATCATGGTTTTGGTGGGGATTGAAAAGACCAAGACGCTTCAAGGCCTTCCAGATTTCTTCAAAGACTTAAACGGTGTTGTATCTCATTTTGCCCTCAAAAAGCTAAAACTTCAATACGACTTGTTGCCCAACTCCCTTCAACAACCATGCACCAACACTTTTCGAGGGGCCTGGGGGCTCCCTTGTTCACATGATCTAGCTGAAGCGCGAGAAAAAATGGATCATCTGTCGCCTGACTTGATACACGTCCAGTGGAAGCTACAAATGGACATTGCCCCCGATACTCACGAAGGACTTATCGCCGCGTCACGTGTCAAGTTTGATCAATTACTTCAGTTAAATGAACATTATCTTCGGAAGCTATATAACGAAATCATTCTGCTCGAGACTGGACAATATTCTATCATCCCAATCATGAACGCTGAGGTCAAAACGGATACTCGAGGTCGACCTCGAGCTTCTTTCGCCAAAGGTTCCAAAGCAAAACGCCTAGCCTCACCTGATGGGCGATGGAAATCGGACCTGGAGCTTGATGAGGCTGCGAAACGTCCTCGGGTCAGCAAATGCAGCCTTTGCTTGACTCCCGGTCACAATATTACAACCTGTCCTCTTCGAGCAAGTCAAACTTCGACAAATCGTGTTGGTTCAAGTTTAAAACGGGTTTCGAACAAGTCAATTACAAAAGAAGAAGCCTTGCTTGATGATTCCGAACCCGAAGCTGAGGAAGAAGCTTTACCCGAAGCTGAGGAAGAAGCTTTGCTCAATGATTTCTATGACATGGTTGAAGCGCAGGAGAGGGAGGATGTAGTGGGCGCTGATGACATCAGTGACTCGGATTCAGAAGGACTAGATGGTCAAGATCAAGATGCCCAAGATGAAGGACTCTGTGAATTCTGCGAGGATCCCCTCCCCAAAGCGCCTTCCAAAAAGCTTACCGATTTGAAGGCTCTTCTCTTGGCAATTCCAATCAGCGGGGGCAAGTCTTTGTTGGTGAGTTTTTGGTTTGGTTTTGCTCGCTCGTGCCTTACCTCATGCTCATGCAGGTTATTTTGCGCAGTGGACCCAAACCGCTGAGTATTGTGAATTACATCGGGCAGAATGTGAGACCATTCCACACGGAGTGAGCAAAGGATGGCCTACTATTATCGATTTTGATAATTTGCACAAGTAAGTACCATACATTAATCTTTGTATGATGTATGACGTACCTTTGACTAACTCTTATCCTTCATTTGCGCGACAGCCGTATCAAGGAGCATACACATCTATTGAGCAACATTATCAACCAAACTGAACCTTCGCCTTACTTGGATTACGCCATGAAAAAGAAACGTAATAGCAAGAGTATTGATACTCTGTCAAATATGCTTAACATTGAGGTTGAGCTCCCGGAATAGTGAGTACCCTACCCATGCTTGCTCCTTTGCTTATAGGACTAAATAGAGTCAATTTTTGCTTTGTCCCAATAGTTACGGATATCAAGGGTATGAAGTGTTTGTAAGAACCCTAGAGAACATCTTCATCAATGATCAAATGTCACCACATCATCTCGGTTTGCACCAAGCTGCACCTCTCACTCCCGATTCCTTAATTTGACAAGTCCTGATTCCCGAAGTGGCGATATGTTTGATTGCTGAAGATCTGAACTTGGACCGAAGGGATCCGCAAGTCAAGGAGACGTTGGAATCAAGCCGAAAGTATGGAGTTGCAGTTTTTCCAATGCCAGCTGAAATGTATGAGATGAATGGCACCTCGCTTAATCACAATCACCGGCTTACGAAGAAGCCCGCACCAGCTACCACCACCTCACTCGTTGCTAACACTTCTCAGCCAATTTCAGCTCGCGCATTAGAAAAGAGCACACTGGTTAAACCAGGCGAACGAAGAATATTGAAACAATTACCTCGTATAGTCATTCCACACATCAAGACTATCTACGATCCACCCCGTTTTGGCAACTGTGGTTTTTACGCAATAGCTAATGCCCTGCGATGTAATAAGGAAGATTCTTATGTATTGGTTCGTCGCCACTTACGCGAAGAACTGCTGGCTCATCGGGAGTCCCATGAACAACTAATCTCGACTGCACCCGGAATGAAGTCTCGGCGTGTGACGACTCGACGTGCTTCACCTGCCGCAGTGGAAATCGTTGAAGATCTTCTTCATCGACTTCAACCCCAAGAGGCTAGATGTGGTGAGGAGTTCTGGATGCGCATGCCTTACACAGGCTACGTCATTGCCAGTGTGTATGAATGCCCTGTCATTCTCTTAAATCCGAAAGAATCGAACTGTTACACCTTTTTCCCGTATCGTACTCCACCCAACAGGAATAATCCAATCCTTTTGGCCTTTGTGGATGGTGATCATTTTGCGAATTTGGGTGGTGGGGTTGGATCAATTCCATTACCGGGAATATACGGTGATATCCTCTCACCTACAATAACTGAGACCGAAATTCCTGATTGGATTAAAAAGTATTGAGTGCAGTTAGATATGTGGGTTTGTTAGTTGGTCTGTTTCTTTGTGTGACACGTGTTGTTTTCTCTTTTTGCTTTCTCTTTCTTGTGGTAGTGAGTCATGCTTTATGTAGACCGATGCTCTCGGTCATTCTTTTTCTTTTGTTGTGGCTGTCTCGCTTTCTCTCGTATGCCCCATATGGAATCTTGTTCTTGTCTCTCTTTGTAGTGGCTCCTATGCGCTCAACCTATGCCTGCTATGCTATGCTTTCAATATGATATAATAATTTTATGCCAATTACAGTCATCGGTCTTGTGACCAGAACTAGCTAGGTGCTAGGTGTGAGATTTGTACAAGCGAGACAAAGAGGAAGAACGACATGATAAAAACATCGAAAAAAGGTGTGAGAAATTATGGACGTGTATGTACCAGCCAGACGGAAAGGAAGAAGGTAATAAATTAAATAATGGGTGCCCCTTTTTGCCCCTTTTTTTTAGAAAGGGGCTCCTCATTTGTTTATAGCCCCGTGTCCGACCCGAAAGAGGGCGCCGGATACGGTTCCGAGGGCGCTAAATAGTGGGATCCGTAAAAATAACCCTCACTCTACTTGTTTCGACTTTACGTACAAATTCTGTACATTATCATATTGATTAACCACGAGCACTCTGGTAGTTCTTGTAAATTTCCGCTACAGTGAAATCTGAATGTATATCCCCCTACATCTTAGGGTTTTGTGAGACACCTTGAGGATTGAAGACTCAGACAAGCATCATGAATGAGCGAAGGCAAACACAGAGCTGTTTCATAAACAAAGCATTAGGAACCATTGCAATGATCTGTAGAGTCGATCTATCAGTCAAGACAGTGTGAGCCATCATCATCAAAGAAGTGTGCATAATGGCGTTGCAAATATCAAATTGAGCTAGAGATCGAGCTGATTGATTGAGTGAAGAAATGATGATGATTCCCAAACTCAACAAACCCCCACGCTGTTGCTCGTCGACATGAAAATTATCGATGGGACACCCTTGGAGTTGGGACCTGCATTGTAGTTTTGCTAATACTAAGGGCACCTGACTGAGGCAATTGTTGATTATTTTCAATAGATCAAGGATTTTGAAGCGATTGTAGACACACATATGGAAGCTTGGAAAGACAGACACTGCCAGGATTAAACACTG